AAACATATTTCGGCTTGCTTATCAAATAATATGAATTTCGATCTTCAGGTGTGTTCTTTTCATTCATTCATTCATTCATTCATTCATTCATTCATTTTTCTTTCTTTCTTTCTTTCTTTTTATTTATTCATTTATTAATTACTTATTTATTTATTTATTAATTACTTATTTATTTATTTATTTACTTTGTTATTTATTCATTTAATTATTTATTTGCGCTCTTAATATCTATACACCATTTTCTTTATTCACGTCCTTATCAACAATTCTCTTTGTTCATATTGTCAGTCTATTAAATACTGTATTTTCCACCACCTTAATATGAATAATATTCATTGTTCTCTCGCCTGTTGCATCAAGAGTTCAGATTCCCAAAGATAATAACTTACTCTGTACTTTGAGGAATTTGTATTTTTCTTTGTGGAACTCTATTCAAAACTATCTAGTGTTGTTTTGTTTTGTTGTTGGGTTGTTGTTTTTTTCCTTTTTTTTCTTTATCTTTTGTCTCTTCTCCTTCGTACAAACAGTTCTCTCTTCTGGATCAATTTAAAGTTGAACACAAAAGGCAGATTCGCTCCCTTGAACCGGGGTGCACCCCTGTCAATAAAATCCAATTGACCGAGGTTGGGGTGAGTCAGTTTTTATTTTATTTACTTAAAAAAAAAAAATTTTAAATGATTTTTTATTTTTTGGAGACTTTATCAAATTGTACTAGATTTGGACCTTTTGCCACTCCATGGAGGAAAATTTGGCTTGCTGGCTCCGAGTCGGTTCAACTGAATTCGACTGGCAGTGTGCAGTGGGTGTTGGAATGACATGGCTCGAACTCCATGACCCATAGTTTACAGAATATGGGATTAATAGATTTACATTCTTATAGCTTAAATGTTTTACACTTTACTTGATAAGCTTCAGATAGGTTTTTTTTATAAAATCGTAGTGTGTAACTCAATAATATTATCGCAGTAAAGTGTAGTCAGCACCTTGCCATTCTAATGTCATGATGTGTCTCTGAAATGTGTGTGTTTCTTGAGA